AGATTTGAAACAAGTGATTATGGTAAAAGGAGTTGAGGAGGTAGTGAACACAGAGTTGATATTCCCACGGCTAAACTCCATTGAGCTACATTATTGTGACAAGTTGTCAAGTTTCTATGCTGGAAGTTCTGCACTCAAGTTCCAATCGGCCATAAAAATTAAGATACACAGGTGTCCAAACATGATTACATTTGCTTCTACATTTTCAACAGAGCAAGAGAAAGAGACGGCTTATCGAGAAACTGAGGGACACCTTGGAAAGAAAGAACCTGATATTCAGAGTCGGACTATATTCTTTGATATGGTCAGTTTTTTCTTCACAAATTTAACATTTAAAGCAGTTTTAATTATCGTTACTCACAGACTATAATTTACACTTCTTCGCAACATCACTCTTGCTCTGTTTTCTTCAATTAAAAAAAGCTAATTATAGTGCTTACAAATTTAATAAGTCATTTAAATGTGTTTCAAAACAAAAACAGAATGCACATAATACTTCTTCGAGTCATATTTAATTGTTATATTTTATTTAATTATGATTGCTAAGTCTCTGTTTAGAATAAATGTAATTTTAAATGTTTGGTTTAGTTTTCAAAATTTTAAAATCCTTAAAATAAAATTAAGGAGATTTATAAATTAATTAATTTGAAATTTCAAGTATTAATTTTAAAATTTTATATCTAATATACGTTGTCAATTTTAATTTTTAATGTTAATTTTTAAAATTATTAATTTTTAATTATTAATTTTAAAAATCAAAACAAAAAAACTAACAGTTGCAATTCCTTGACACTAAGCTTAAAAAATTAAGAAAATGTATTGCAATCTTCATTTGGCCGTAAAGAAAAATGTAGGAGAGGTGCTCTAGATACGTGTTCCACTGCCACATGGATCCCATTTATTGTTCCACTCACAAAATCACGCCACCTCTCCCACATTTGCTACTTTGAAATGGTAATGGAAAGTAGAAAGTAGAAACCTGTACTCTTCTTTTTTATTTTTTTTTTCTGCTTAAAGAAACTTGTACTCTTTAACTTGGAGGAACATGCATTCTTGTGAATTCAACTACAAATAAGTACTATTGGTTCTTTATGTTAAAACAAAAATTAAAAAATAAGTTCTTAATAAATATTTTAACCATATATATATCTTTTGTATTGGTCAA